TGGAGTCAGCAGGAGCAGCGGCGGCGACCGAGTCGCTGGAGGATCGGGTCAGCTGCCAGGACGCCAGGATCCAGCAACTCAGCTCCGACATGCAGGAGGTAATGAACACCCTGCGCCGATGGGAAAGGGGAGGCGTGCCCACACCTCCTCCTACATTACCACCACCATCGGCCAGCCCCACCAGACCAGCTCCGGAATCCAGTGGGATTCGGCTCTCGCTCCCGAGGGTGTATGATGGCACGGCAGCCGGGTGTCAGGGGTTCCTCCTTCAGGTGGAACTCTACCTGGCCACCATACACCCGGCGCCCTCGGGATACGAGAGCGTTTCCGCCCTCATCTCCTGTCTCTCCGGCAAGGCGTTGGAGTGGGACAACGCCGAATGGAGGGGAATAGACGCCGCCACCATCAGCTACGCGGAGTTCTCCCGCCGCTTCAGGGCAGTTTTCGATCACCCTCCTGAGGGTAAAGCGGCGGGGGAGCGTCTGTTCCACCTCCGACAGGGGAAGAGGAGTGCACAGGAGTTCGCCCTGGATTTCCGGACTCTAGCGGCGGATGCGGGGTGGAATGAGAGGGCCCTCATCGACCACTATAGGTGTAGCCTGCGTGAGGACGTTCGTTGAGAGCTGGCCTGCAGGGACACCAATCTGTCCTTCGACCAGCTAGTGGACATGTCCATTCGTCTGGATACCCTGCTGGCCACCCGCGGACGTCCCGAGATGGGGCCGTCCATTCCATCCCCCAGCACCTCCGAGCCGAGCTCAATGGAGCTTGGGGGTGCTGGTGCTAGAGAGAGAAGGAGAGAGAACCCGAGGGGGGCCGTCCCCTGCACCAGCTGTGGCCGTGGAGGACACACTGCGGCTAGGTGCTGGGGAGGGTCTCCAAGGAATCGAGGCAACAGGTCGCACACTGGGGAGTCATTTCAGGTGAGTAGGCGCCCCACTCACCCAGAGCTCTCTGTTGTTCACTTGTGTATACCTGTGGCATTTCCTCAGGTTGCATCTCATTCCCAGCATGAGGCGCTAGTCGATTCAGGCACAGCTGGGAATTTTATTGATCGGAAATGTTGTTCTAAGTTAGGGATTCCCCTCCTGCCCGTTGATGCACCCTTTCCTGTCCATGCCCTAGATAGCCGCCCGTTGGGATCTGGGTTGATTAGGGAGGTCACAGCGCCACTAAAGATGAAGACGCAGGGGGGTCATGAGGAGATTATTCAGTTGTACCTAATTGACTCTCCTGCGTATCCCGTGGTGCTGGGGCTTCCTTGGTTAATCACCCATGACCCCACCATTTCGTGGCAACAGAGGGCTCTCAAGGAATGGTCTGGCCAGTGTGTTGGGCGATGTTTAGGTGTTTCCGTTGGGGCGACCACGGTGGAGAGTCCGAACCAAGTGCCCGCAATGCACATTCCCCCTGAGTATGAGGATTTGGCATTCGTGTTCAGCAAGACGAGGGCGGCGCGATTGCCACCTCATAGACAGGGAGATTGTGCGATAAACCTCCAGACAGGTGCGGCACTTCCGCGGAGCCATGTGTATCCTCTGTCTCAAGAGGAGACGGCGGCTATGGAAACATACATAGCTGAGTCCCTGAGACAGGGATACATACGGCCCTCCACTTCCCCTGCGTCCTCGAGTTTCTTTTTTGTGAAGAAAAAGGATGGAGGTTTGCGCCCGTGTATTGATTACCGTAGTCTCAATCAGATCACTGTGAAATACAGTTACCCTCTACCTCTGATTGCGAGTATGACTGAATCATTACGCGGAGCGCGTTTCTTCACAAAACTGGATCTCAGGAGCGCTTATAACTTAGTACTAGCTGCTACCGTTTGATGTTCTCTATGTTTGTTTGGTTTTGTCTGATTAGTGCACCTGTTCCATATCACGTATTGATTATGTCACCTATAAGTTTCCTTTGGTTTTGTTTGTAGTTGTGTGTTGTTGTCCGCCTGTCCGTCAGTGATTTGTATTTGCTCTCGTGTATTTAGTGTATTGACGCACTGTTTGCGTAATCACTTGTATTTTGTATATTTACGCACAGTATGCGTAATCGCTCGCCTCCGTTGTGTTGAGGCCCGTTATTTTGTATTGTCGTGTTTTGACAAGTAATGTCTGTTGGACTAAGCTTCTGTGTCCTGCGCCTGACTCCAACACCACATCCACATCAGCTCGTGACAGGCTAGATAGCCATTATAGCTAACATGACTGCATCTATAGGTTAGCTTTGTGGTTGACGGCTTCATACCAGAGGAGGAGAGAATAATTTGTCTAAAGAGAGGAAAGAAAGGAACAGAAGGCTGAAGAAAAGAATGGACGTTGGAGGCGTGAAGATAAGGAGTATGTTGTAGAGAGTGATAAAGAGGGTAGAGAAAACAGGGAGAGGGGGACAGTGGGGACGAATGGAGCGATTGGAGAGAAGGAGAGTGGTATAAAAAGAAAGAGAAGGAGTGTAAGAGAGAGACTTGAGCCAGCGTAATGGAGTAACAAAGAAATCAATCTCCACATTTTAAAAGAAAGGGCCGATGAGATTGAGATCTGTGTTATTTCCTGGGTCGGGCCCTCATAAATCAGGCTCCATGGGATACACGGACGCTCATTTTGGATTTAAAGCTGTCTGTGGTGCCCCCAGTGATTGAACAAGTGGACGTGTGTGGACAATTCAGTCCCATTCAAAATCCAATTTTCCCTAACCCTAACCCTAACCTTAACCCTAATCCTAACCCCAAAACCTAACCTTAACCTTAACCGTAACCCTAAACCTAACTCTAGCTCCTAAACCTATCCCTAAAACTAACCTTAGCTCCTAACCCTGACTCTAAACTAATTCTAACCCCAACACGAATTCTAACCTTAACCCTAGAAATACCATTTGACCTTGTGGGGACAAACAAAATGTCCCCAGTTGGTCCAATTTTTGTTTGTTTATTATTCTTGTGGGGACTTCTGGTTCCCACAAGTATAGTTAAACACGTCCACACACACATACACATATAAACACACACACACACGTGCAGCCGCAGTGAAGTAATTTGATGAAAGCGATCAGCATTTGATGTGAGAGAGAGGAGAGGCCAGGGCAAAGGGGAGGTGGTGGTAGCGTTTCATAACCCTATTTCACACGGATAATGATAATTTTATGAAAATTATACAAAAATGATACATGTTTTCAAGCCAAATCAATAGTCTCCTGGTGTCTGTAGCCAACACAAACAGTAGGCTGAGCAGATGGAGCCAGAAGACAGCGTGGTGGAAAAGGTAAAGCAAACACAGCGCCGCTTCTTATCAAAGGTCTCCCGCCGCCTCAGACCGGTTTTAATGAGGAATTCGTGTTATAACAGATAAACAAACAAACTGTGATTCTGCCATTCAGTCGTGAACCCCTGCCCCATAAAAATAATAAACACACATCTGAAATATCTAAAAGTCTAAGTTTCTTGTTCCACTGAGCTTTCCGTTTTTTTGCATTTCTCTGAATGTTTCTGCTCTGGCCGTTACACTTTCTTTCTCTCATAGATTGTTTTGGGTGCAAGGACTTTTTCTGTGCTTGATTGAGCAGTAGGGACGACGTGTTCTTTGTCATTACAGTGCAGAGAGAGTATATCCTTTGGCTCGTTAGTAAGCGTAGCAGGACACACATGCACGTACACAGACACACACACACAAGCGCACACACACAGATTAGCGTGGGCTAGCTGCAGGGGCGGATCAACACTGGGTTCTGTCTACGGCCTCGCTCAACAAATGATTGAAGCCAGAGGAGAAGAGACACACACACACCTGCACAAATTTTCACACAAAACACACCGTTTTTGGTATGTTGTCAGGAAACAGCACACACCCTACCCACAATCCTGTTTGCTTATGTTATGACAGAAATGTGGGCTTTAGCTTGGATACACATACAGCACTGTACCCTTTACAATTCAACACATTGAGATATTCCACTGGAAAGCAAAGCATTCAACTGTATAGAAAACAGGTTAAAGAAAGGTACTATTAAGGGAGGAAATATGTGTGTAGGATGGGGGGGTAACCCCATTTTAAGATTGCCAAAGGAGGGGAGTCTCTCTCTCTCTCTCTCTCTCTATCTCTCTCTTCTCTCTCCTCTCTCTCTCTCTCTCTCCTCTCTCTCTCTCTCTCTCTCTCCCTCCCTCTCTCTCTCTCTCCTCTCTCTCTCTCTCTCTCTCTCTCTCTCTCTCTCTCTCTCTCTCGCCATATTAACTCCCTGCTCCCCTCAGAGCAGGAGAGGAAGAGAGGAGGAGAGCCTGCGACCTTCTGGGATACAGAGAGACCAGGGGAATAGTGCCTCTCTCTGACACTACTGATCCCTACCAACCTCAGTCTATCACACACACAACTCTGATGCTGATGCAACTATCAGTGATTGATAGGATGAGGAAGTGAATTCTAATATGGATCTGTGATAGGGAGATTGATACATCATTCAATGGAGTGATATCTAAAAAGAAAGGACTCATACTACAGTGTTTGGGAGATCATATGAGAGTGAGAGATCATAGAGATATTGTCTACTGCGGAAAAGTTTATCACTGATGTGTACAGCAATAGATTATGTGTACAAGAGATAATTTATTGCTGTCAGCACCATTTCAACAGTAACATTCCTGGTACAATGAATGTGCTTCTGATTCTGAAGAGATCATTATGGCAGTGGGATCACGTATGAAAATGTATTTAAAAGACATTGAAAATATGTCTTATTGTTTGAAAAGACTTTTTGTGTTTACTGGGTTACGTCTATAGAGTACAGTTAGTAACTAATGTCCCTTTGTAGATCATTCACCAATGGATCAACATCTATCAGAGTACAGTAAGAAATTCAATGGGCAGATCAGATTCATTGACTTGACTCATTCTGAATGGCTGAACTCTTAGTATTTGTTGATCATCTGGGCTGTATCAAATTGTGTGGCGACAGCTCTCAGTGACACATGAGAGACCCGGCCCTCTCTGTGTCAGATACATAACATCCTGGAACTCAGGATGTCACTGAGCCATACTGTGACGGTCAGCGATACTACTGGAGCCTCAGGTAAGAATGGCACAAACAATAGTGATTCATACCTTTTTGTAAAAATGTCAAAATATGATACATATAAACTGATACCAGGCTTTAAAATGACATTTAAACTGTAAAATGAAACAGACCTCAATGTCATTCAGAAAGTAAGCGTAAGTAAGATATAAGTGAAACACTATCATTGAAAAAGAACATCAAAGAGCATCTGTTTCTTTCACACAAAAAATGCCTTTTCTTATTATACAGTATGTTCTCGACATCAATGGACCTCTCTCACTGCTTATTATGATACAGATCATTTAGAAAACAAAACCGAAAGCAACAGAATGTTTCTGAATAAATATAGACGGTTCACACTAGGATTACATCCTATATTGGGCCATTTGTTTTCTTCTTTTTTTTCTTCTGTTTCAGTTGCCTCTGTTCAGTCTGTCTATGGAACAGACGGAAGCTATGAATCCATTCTGGCTCCCCTACTGTAAACCTACTGTTCAGAGCCACCACAACTGGGACTGTTGTATCCTGTGACGTATGTACTACGGTATAACGCCTTGTGGCACACACACACACACACACACACACTTTACCAGGGACTGTGGGACAAGCCAAAGATTGATGCACACCCAAGCCGAGCCCTTGTTGGTTCTGATCCAACAGTACAACATGGACTAGATACCTAGCTGGGTCGCCCCTGGTCCTGAGTAACGGCCCATTTACGTCCCATAGTTCTGGCCCAGCAGAGCCCTACGGTCCATTTATGGCCAACTGGTTCTGGCCCAGCAGAGCCCTAGCAGCCTGTGTGGGTCAAGGCGGATGTGAGTGATATAGTCCGGGGACGGCCCAATGTATCTTTTCCTTCTGGTTGGCATGGCGCCAAGCAGCCTAAATATCTCCAGTTGCAGCGGGAGAGAAAGAGGAAAGAGAAAATGTTTGTGAGAGAGAGAGAGAGAGAGAGAGAGAGAGAGAGAGAGAGAGAGAGAGAGAGAGAGAGAGAGAGAGAGAGAGAGAGAGAGAGAGAGAGACTGTGTCTGTGTGTACGTGTGTGTGTTTGTGTGTTTGTGTGTGTCTGTGTGTGTGTGTGTGTGTGTTCTACTTTATGTCTTTATCCTGGCATCTCGCTGGGAGGGGATAAAGCAGGTGCTTACATGGCTCAGCGCTCCCCTATGACTAGTGCCAGCACCAGGGGCAACCGCTACCGTGCGCCCAGCGTTAATCACCATGTTCCCTGCCATTACACACACACACACACACAGAGGTACGTACACACACACATTCACACTCTCTCACACACACGTAAACACACACACTAACACTGGGGCTCAGCGCCCATGGGGAACCAGGAAACAGGGGTTAATCTGACAGTGATCTAGTGACTAGGGTGTGAGAGTTACACTGTAGAGAGTAATTCTCCACTGATAACAACTGGAGGGTGTGTTTGTGTCCCCTGCTGATTTTGTACGTTCGCCCACTGACAAAGAAATGATCAGTCTATAATTTTAATGGTAGGTTTTTTTGAAGAGTGAGAGAAAGAATAACAACAACAAATTCCAGAAACACGCATGTCAAAAATGTTATATATAAATTGATTTGCATTTTCATGAGGGAAATAAGTATTTGACCCCTCTGCAAAACATGACTTAGTACTTGGTGGCAAAACCCTTGTTGGCAATCACAGAGGTCAGACGTTTCTTGTAGTTGGCCACCAGGTTTGCACACGTCTCAGGAGGGATTTTGTCCCACTCCTCTTTGCAGATCTTCTCCAAGTCATTAAGGTTTCGAGGCTGACGTTTGGCAACTCGAACCTTCAGCTCCCTACACCGATTTTCTATGGGATTAAGGTCTGGAGACTGGCTAGGCCACTCCAGGACCTTAATGTCCTTCTTCTTGAGCCACTCCTTTGTTGCCTTGGCCGTGTGTTTTGGGTCATTGTCACGACCCATTTTCAATGCCCTGGCTGAGGGAAGGAGGTTCTCACCCAAGATTTGACGGTACATGGCCCCGTCCATCGTCCCTTTGATGCGGTGAAGTTGTCCTGTCCCCTTAGCAGAAAAACACCCGCAAAGTATAATGTTTCCACCTCCATGTTTGTCAGTGGGGATGGTGTTCTTGGGGTCATAGGCAGCATTCCTCCTCCTCCAAACACGCCGAGTTGAGTTGATGCCAAAGAGCTCCATTTTGGTCTCATCTGACCACAACACTTTCACCCAGTTCTCCTCTGAATCATTCAGATGTTCATTGGCAAACTTCAGACAGGCATGTATATGTGCTTTCTTGAGCAGGGGGACCTTGCGTCGCTGCAGGATTTAAGTCCTTCACGGCGTAGTGTGTTACCAATTGTTTTCTTGGTGACTATGGTCCCAGCTGCCTTGGGATCATTGACAAGATCCTCCCGTGTAGTTCTGGGCTGATTCCTCACCGTTCTCATGATCATTGCAACTACACAAGGTGAGATCTTGCATGGAGCCCTAGGCCGAAGGAGATTGACAGTTATTTTGTGTTACTTCCATTTGCAAATAATCACACCAACTGTTGTTACCTTCTCACCAAGCTGCTTGGCGATGGTCTTGTAGCCCATTCCAGCCTTGTGTAGGTCTACAATCTTGTCCCTGACATCCTTGGAGAGCTCTTTGGTCTTGGCCATGACGGAGAGTTTGGAATCGGATTGATTGATTGCTTCTGTGGACAGGTGTCTTTTATACAGGCAACAAGCTGAGATTAGGAGCACTCCCTTTAAGAGTGTGCTCCTAATCTCAGCTCATTACCTGTTTAAAAGACACCTGGGATCCAGAAATCTTTCTGATTGAGAGGGGGTCAAATACTTATTTCCCTCATTAAAATGCAAATCAATTTATAACATTTTTGACATGTGTTTCTCTGGATTATTTTGTTGTTATTCTGTCTCTCACTGTTCAAATAAACCTACCATTAAAATGATAGACTGATCATGTCTTTGTCAGTGGGCAAACGTACAAAATCAGCAGGGGATCAAATACTTTTTTCCTTCACTGTATGTGTGCCTGCGTGTGCTCGCATATGTATGCCTTTTTCCGGTGTGTGTGTAATGTATGTGTCTGCATGCATGGATGTACGTGTGTGTGTGTGTGCGTGTGTGTGTGTGTGTGTGTGTGTGTGTGTGTGTGTGTGTGTGTGTGTGTGTGTGTGTGTGTACGCACGTTCATGTAGGTGTGTGCGTTCACTCGGGTATGTGTGTAAAATACTGCTGAGTGACTATTCCCAGATACGATCAGTGAAGATCTTCTGGCTCCTGCTGTCTGTCATCAGTGTGTTCTGTCAGCCCGTTATCTAGATGGAAAGACCTGTAATAACATGTTACACAACACCTCCTCGGATGGCACTGAGACTGGGGAGTGTGTGTGTGTGTGTGTCTGTGTGCTAATTCTTTTCCTAATGGGTGTGTGTGTACATGTGTATGTGTTTGTGTGTGTGTGTATATTTGTGTGTGTGCGCTCATTATTCTCCTAATGGGTATGTATGTCTGACATTCTCACGTGATAACAGATGCACAGCATGTTGATGAGAGAGAAAGGGAGAGAGATAGATTATATAAGCTAGAACGATATACAGTGCATTCGGAAAGTATTCAGACCCCTTCCCTTTTTCCACATTTTGTTACATTACAGCCTTATTCTAAAATGGATTAAATAAATAAAAATCCTCATCAATCTACACACAATACCCCATAATGACAAAGCGAAAACAAGTTTTTATACATTTTTGCAAATGTATAAAAAAATTCAAGCAGAAATACCTTATCTACATAAGTATTCAGACCCTTTGCTATGAGACTCGAAAATGAGTTCAGGTGCATCCTGTTTCCATTGATCATCCTTGAGATGTTTCTACAACTTGATTGGAGTCCACCTGTGGTCAATTCAATTGATTGCACATGATTTGGAAAGGTCCCACAGTTGACAGTGCATGTCAGAGCAAAAACGAAGCCATGAGGTCGAAGGAATTGTCCATAGAGCTCCGAGATAGGATTGTGTCGAGGCACAGATCTGGGGAAGGGTACCAAAAAATATCTGCAGCATTGAAGGTCTCCAAGAACACAGTGGCCTCCATTCTTAAATGGAAGAAGTTTTGAACAACCGAGACTCTTCCTAGAACTGGGCGCCCGGCCAAACTGAGCAATCAGGGGAGAAGGGCTTTGGTCAGGGAGGTGACCAAGAACCCGATGGTCACTCTGTCAGAGCTCCCGAGTTCCTCTGTGGAGATGGGAGAACCTTCCAGAAGGACAACCATCTCTGCAGCACTCCACCAATCAGGCCTTTATGGTAGAGTGGCCGGACGGAAGCCACTCCTCAGTAAAATGCACATGACAGCCGGCTTGGAGTTTACCAAAAGGCACCTAAAGGACTGTCACACCATGAGAAACAAGATTATCTGGTCTGATGAAACCAAGATTGAAATCTTTGGCCTGAATGCCAAGCGTCACGTCCGGAGGAAACCTGGCACCATCCCGACGGTGAAGCAAGGTTGTGGCAACATCGTGCTGTGGGGATGTTTTTCAGCGGCAGGGACTGGGAGACTAGTCAGGAACGAGGGAAAGATGAAGGGAGCTAAGTACAGAGAGATCCTTGATGAAAACCTGCTCCAGAGCGCTCAGGACCACAGACTGGGAGGAAGGTTCACCCTCCAACAGGACAACGACCCTAAGCACTCAGCCAAGACAATGCAGGAGTGGCTTCGGGACAAGTCTCTGAATGTCCTTGAGTGGCCCAGCCAGAGCATGGTCTTGAACCCGATCGAACATCTCTGGAGAGACCTGAAAATAGCTGTGCAGCGACGCTCCCCATCCAACCTGACAGCGCTTGAGAGGATCTGCAGAGAAGAATGGGAGTACCTCCCCAAATACAGGTGTGCCAAGCTTGTAGCGACATACCCAAGAAGACTCGAGGCTGTAATCGCTGCCAAAGGTGATTCAACAAAGTACTGAGTAAAGGGTCTGAATACTTATGGAAATGTGATATTTCCGTTTTAATTGTAATTTTATTTTTAACTCTATAAACCTGTTCTTGCATTGTCATTATGGGGTATTGTGTGTAGATTGATGAGGGGGAAAAACAATGTAATCCATTTTAGAATAAGGCTGCAACGTAACAAAATGTGGAAAAAGTCAAGGGGTCTGAATACTTTCCGAAGGCACTAGATAGATAGAGAGATAGAGAGATAGATAAATAGATAGATACAATTGAAGTCTGAACTTTACATACACCTTAGCCAAATACATTTAAACTCAGTTTTTCACAATTCCTGACATTTAATCCTAGTAACAATTCCCTGTTTTAGGTCAGTTAGGATCACCACTTTATTTTAAGAATGTGAAATGTCAGAATAATAGTAGAGAGAATGATTTATTTCAGCTTTTATTTCTTTCATCACATTCCCAGTGGGCCAGAATCTTACATACACTCAATTAGTATTTGATAGCAATGCCTTTAAATTGTTTAACTTGGGTCAAACGTTTCGGGTAGCCTTCCACAAGCTTTCCACAATAAGTTGGGTGAATTTTGGCCCATTCCTCCTGACAGAGCTGGTGTAACTGAGTCCGGTTTGAAGGCCTCCTTGCTCGCACATGCTCTTTCAGTTCTGCCCACAAATGTTCTATAGGATTGAGGTCAGGGCTTTGTGATGGCCACTCCAATACCTTGACTTTGTTGTCCTTAAGCCATTTTGCCACAACTTTGGAAGTATGCTTGGGGTCATTTTCCATTTGGAAGACCCATTTGCGACCAAGCTTTAACTTCCTGACTGATGTCTTGAGATGTTGCTACAATATATACACATCATTTTCCTTCCTCATGATGACATCTATTTTGTGAAGTGCACCAGTCCCTCCTGCAGCAAAGCACGCCCACAGCATGATGCTGCTACCCCCGTGCTTCACGGTTGGGATGGTGTTCTTCGGCTTGCAAGCGTCCCCCTTTTTCCTCCAAACATAACGATGGTCATTATGGCCAAACATTTCTAATTTTGTTTAATCAGACCAGAGGACATTTCTCCAAACAGTACGATCTTTGTCCCCATGTGCAGTTGCAAACCGTAGTCTGGCTTTTTTATGGCGGTTTTGGAGTGGTGGCTTCTTCCTTGCTGAGCGGCCTTTCAGGTTATGTCGATATAGGACTTGTTTTACTGTGTATATAGATACTTTTGTACCTGTTTCCTCCAGCATCTTCACAAGGTCATTTGCTGTTGTTCTGGGATTGATTTGCACTTTTCGCACCAAAGTACGTTCATCTCTAGGAGACAGAACGCGTCTCCTTCCTGAGCGGTATGACGGCTGCGTGGTCCCGTGGTGTTTATACTTGCGTACTATTGTTTGTACAGATGAACGTGTTACCTTCAGGCGTTTGGAAATTGCTCCCAAGGATGAACCAGACTTGTGGAGGTCTACCATTTTTTTTCTGAGTTCTTGGCTGATTTCTTTTGATTTTCCCATGATGTCAAGCAAAGAGGCACTATGTTTGAAGGTAGGCCTTGAAATACATCCACAGGTACACCTCCAATTGACTCAAATTATGTCAATTAGCCTATCAGAAGCTTCTAACGCCATGACATCATTTTCTGGAATATTCCAAGCTGTTTAAAGGCACAGTCAACTTAGTGTATGTAAACTTCTGACCCACTGGAATTGTGATACAGTGAATTATAAGTTAAATAATCTGTATGTAAACAATTGTTGGAAAAATCACTTGTGTCATGCACAAAGTAGATGTCGTAACCGACTTGCCAAAACTATAGTTTGTTCACAAGAAATTTGTGGAGTGGTTGAAAAACAAGTTTTAATTACTCCAACCTAAGTGTATGTAAACATCTGACTTCAACTGTAGATAGATAGATTGATAGATTGTGGAGAGGGGAAGAAGGGGAGAAAGAGAAAGAGAAAGAGAGAAAGGTGAGAGAGATGTCAATATGTGATAGAGAGAGATGATGATATGCGAGAGAGAGAATGAATGAGGAAATGAGAGAAAGAAAGATAAAGAGAAAGAAGACAAACAGACTATGGTCCTCCAGGGAGGGATCTGTTCATCCCACACATATCGAGGGATCAGGAAAACAAATGTTCCTGGGATACGTACTCACACAGCACGGACCGGCCCAGCACTCCTTCCATCCGTCTCTAAGTTCCATTGTTAGAGCTGAATTCCCTAAAGGCAGAGCGGGGAGAAGCAGGGATAAGCAGCTCAACCTTTAAAAATGCTTCACCGGGCAGCACGTTGTTGGAAAGTACTGTATAGATGTAAGGGTTGGTGTGAGGTGTGACCCAGGTGTGGTGCAGGATATACAGTAGGCAGTAGGCAGTAGGCAGAGATGGTGAAACAAGGATCTTTACTGGTGGTCCCAAAGCCAGAATACAAAATAACGGACTTATCACAATAAACCAATGGCGGAGCAAATAAGTCTCCAAAAACCGGCTGACAGCCAAAATACGAAATACTACCTAAGACCGAAACAAATAACGAAACAGGGAGAACACATCTCAAGTACCTGTACATAGATATCTGATCAGACACTGAGTAGTACTGCTGGACATAGAGAAACTAGCAGAGAAAATTGAGCAAGGGAACACAGGGAAGTTAGGGCATATAAGGTTGTCGGAGGATGACACCTAGTGGGTCGCGCCGGAACTGCGACCCCCTCCTGTAACATATAGAGGCCAGAGATTATTATCTAGAGTACATTGTGTATCAAGTCAGAGCAAAGGAAGGACCAGGGTCGTATTCAGTGAGACACAACGTAGCAAAACGTATTGCAACGGAAAAAACGAAAATCTGTGTTCTTATTGGACAGGTTTATGTAGTACCTCACTGTTTCTGGACGCTTTCTCCCTACTGAACACGACCCAGTGCATGAAAGAGTAGGCTACAGCAAGAGAAAAGCATTGTGCTAAAGTGAATAGATATTGATTCACTGCTATGGAGATATAAGTATACATACTGTAAAGTTATGTACAGTAGGCTAAGGAGATCCATGTACAATAGTAACTTTGAGAGAAAGAGCATGAGTATATGTGACTCGTTTCAGAAAACTAGGCGTATGTCGCACGTCACTACTTCACAGGAGAGGCATTTGAACGTAAACATTTATTTTTGATCAAAATGCGCTTTTTGACAGAAATGCCTTCTGGAACATGTGAACTTTCATGTGCCTTAATAACAAACTTGTATGCCATTTATAAATACAAATACAATTGTTAAATTACTAGCCTAGTTGGTTTAGCTTCAGAAAAAGACAGGAACCTTCCCACTAGCCATGATTGGCTGAGGTAATAGATGGGCTGGACATGCCGAGAGATTAGTTCAGGTTGGTCTGCCGTGTAGCTTGCTTCTGTCTATAACATGAGCTGCTCAGTATGTGTAGGTAATCCTTTCTAACGCAGCTTTTTCTAAAGATATCACGAAGAACTCCAAAAGTGTTTTATTGCAAATATGTGGAGGGAGTCGAAAAGAGAACACACAGAAGGCTGTTGTACAAAACATCTGTCTCCGGACTATATCTTTAAACTAAGGGCAACCATGGCATCCGTGACAGAGACAGAGAAGCGTTCATCCATGTACACAGGTAAGAGAGTCTAGCAACAGTGGTTCTTCCTTTAAAAGTGCGTCGTACTGCAGCACAGCTTGCGGGTTGCCACAGAATTGTATGACACGGTGTTTGACTGTCAGCCATTGTTGCCATTAATGCTAGTTAGTGCTAGTTTGACCACCAGAGGGCATCTTTGAGAAGCTAAGTTACTGAAATGACATGGAGCTGTAGGCCTAAGAGTCCTGTTTACTGTAGCTGTTTTAGCGCAACTTACCTATTGGCAAAGCATACAGTACAATTCATCCATGTCTTTAAATACAGTCAAGCATTTTAGTTATAAAACGAAATAACAAAGGGAGCCTTGAATAATTAAACAATGAATAAACCGCAACATGTCGGCTAAAGCGATTTAATTCAGGAATGCATTTGACTCTTATTGATACTGGCTGTACAAGAGACTTTAAAACCTTTTTTTGTTAGAACAGACTATATGGGATAGATTTTTAGAAATGTAGCTTAATTAATTTGCATATTATTATGGTGTTTCTTGTCACAACCTGATCGGTTTCACCTGTCTTGTGGTTGTCGCCACCTCTCACCAGGTGTCTCCAATTTGTCCCCATTATCCCCTGTGTATTTATACCTGTGTTTTCTGTTTGTCTGTTGCCAGTTCGTCTTGTCTCGTCAAGCTTACCCACGGTTTTCCCGTACTCCTGTTTTGCTCTAGTCCCTGTTTTCCTGTTTTTCCTGGTTTTGACCATTCCGCCTGCCCTGACCCTGAGCCTGCATGCTGTTCTGTACCTTGTGACACTATTCTGGATTACCGACCTCTGTCTGCCCCGACCCTGAGCCTGCCTGCCGTTTCCGTACCTTTCGGACTCTGCTCTGGAACAAAAATGATTTTTTTACTGTAGCTGTTTTAGTGTAACTTACTTATTGGCATAAAGGCCTACTTCAATATACAGTATATCAATCAATCATTCATTAATTTGTGCATGTCATCACACAGCATACAATTCATCCGTGTCTTTAAATACAGTCAAGCGTTTTAGTTATAAAATGAAATAACAAAGGGAGCCTTGAATAATTCAACAATTAATAAACTGCAACATGTCAGAGAACTGTATTCTAAAAATAAATACACAGCATCTACAGTGGTACAAATATATGATTGAATTTGATTTAAAAAACTGTTTTAAAATGTATATGTTTATTAGGCTACTGTGCAGTCTGACAAAAACCAACAGGACAATGAGATGTTTACTGTAGCCTACATAGTAAACATAGTAAAGTGCCTAATTCGGTTACACATCCTTGGAATTGCAGAACAGCATAACGGTCTGGACGGCCCTTGCTGTGCCTGATGAGCAGTTCGTCAAGTTCTGTTGTCAGAAGAGGAATGGAAATGTCAGGTTGAACCGATGACCTGACGAATCCACCACGTTTGTTGACTCTGCTTGTCGGAGGTGGAGTTCCAGAGCTCACAGGTGTGCCTGGCATGGCTTGTGACTCCATCTCATTCCTTGCCCTCTTCAATGCGTCGTTCTCCGCCTGACCCTCCGCCAATGCCGCCTGACTCTCCGCCAATGCCGCCTGGCTCTGGACCAATGTCTCAGCTGTCGCTCGTATCTCTGCCCTCAGAGAATGTTTCTCTTTCTGTTGGTCTGCCTTCAATGACTCGATCTCTGTCTTCAAAGTTTGAATCTGATCCATGTGCACCTTCATCAGATGACCAGAATGGTACAACCCTGAGCCCCCATCGATTACAGTGGCCTATTTTAAGATTTACAAGTGACTCCTACACACAAATGCTGCGTACAGGAAAACATTTTAAGGATCTAGGAAAACTCACCGCTTTCTTGGGAACCGTGCGTTTTTTCGGTGCGGCCTGTTGTCCAGCCCTATGTCCACTGATCTCCACGGATGGTTGTCGGTATGGTTGTAACCCTGGAACGGGTAGCCCCATAGAAAGAATCTGGCTTGCTGAAAACTATGTCCATTCCGTCTGTTCTCTTTAGAGATAAACAGATCATTTTTGAATGGTAACTGTGTTAAGGGCGGAGTTTGGGGCGGGGTGAGGAGTACTGGAAAGGTGTGACTCCAGGTTACAATAGGCCATAAGTATACAGCAGACCTCCCACTGTCCTCACTTTGATTATACTGTAGCTATTATGCTGTAGCAACATACTATAGCACCATGACCAGGATCACTATTCAGTTAAGTGAGCAGATTAGGGCTTTCAGGAGGAGCGGAAAATCTACTGGAGACATTTCAAAAATACTGTTAGACTTGGGGATTACGGTCACGGACAGTGCTATTCGCAAACACTATCATCAGATGCCTGTGTTACGCAGAACGCGAAAGCCCAGGAAAATGAACAGGTACAGTAGGCTACAATACTGTACAGTGGGCCTAATAATGCTACAAATATTGCTTAAATAAATCTACTGCTGGTCTTTACTGTCTGCTGCACATTTTTACATTGTATTCCATTTTCAGCGAGACTATTCAATCCATCGACTCACTGATGGATGAAGATGATGAGCGATCGGCAAAAGCCATCTGGAATCTGCTGGCATCGCGGCACAACATCAACATCGCTCTAATCACAGTCAGAAGACAGTTGAAGAAACTTGAGTGGACTTATGGAAAGGCTCGGTAAGACATTTATATATATATATGTATATATTACTTTTTTCAGAACATTAACCATGTGTGTTCTCTTGTTTGTACTGTTCTGTAGTTTCGACCCAATAATTAGTCTGACAAACAAAGAACTTTGCGTGCCGCGGGCCCAGGCATGGATCAAAGCTGGCGAGACATTCAATGACGTCATCTTCACGGACGAATCAACCGTGGCCCTTGAGCTATTTGCTCAAAATTGCTACAAAACAAATGGAAGAAGATCAAGCAAGCCAAGACTCAAGCATCCCCTCAAACTCCATGTGTGGGAGGTAATTTCTCTCCAGGGACCAGGCCCATATGTAAAACTTTAGAGTACTTAAGCATCGAATACATTGCAAATTGGGGGGATTTTTCACACCTAGCCGAGCTATTAGAGACTATCCTTTAGTAAATTAAGGAAGGTGTGAATTTTCAATATGAATCTTCAATATAATCATTCATACAGAAGGTTAAACCCATAGGTCTTAGGCAATAGGTCTTAGGCCTGCAGTAAATTATTGAATTCGATGTGGGAAAAAAAGAGAAAACTTTTCCAAATGCATATATTTATTAGGCTACTGTGCAGTGTCTTTAAATACAATGCCAACGAGACAGTGTCCAAGATCTAAAATTCTCCAGTAGAATGTCCTACTTTTATTTAGTCACAATCAGAACCATAAGCTATTTTCTGTAATTAGCTTGCCATTAACTTGTATATAAGGATCTTGTTGTGTTTATTTTCCTGTAATAATTAATAAAAATTAGCTAACTTAAGACGTTGTCAGCTATATGATATGGTCATTATTTGAACTGGCTAGCCAGCTAACTTAACATTAGCTAACTAAGTAACATGCTAGAAACTAGCCAAAACATTGTTTAGAAAGTTGCTTTTAGTTGCCTGGTTTGCTAGATTGACATATACTGAATTCATTTTTAAATGGATGTGTTTATTGGTGTTAAATTACACCAATTATGCTATTTTGGACAACCAGGCTGCTGATGTCACGTAGCCTGTTGTTTTTGTGTTTATACTTTTTCATAACAACAAGTTTGATGTCGGACGACAATAGAATGTTCATAATGTCACTGCAACAACTGTCTACAGACATGTCGATAGACGTACTATAAACCAGCCTTTAGTCTTGAAATCTTTGGTTCTAGTACACTACCATACTCACTCTGTTTAGCACATGGCCTCACGTGAATCCTTAAATACAATGCACCTCCTACCCTCCTTCTTGATCTCCTTCTTGGCAAGAGTCTATTGTCCTGCTAATAGCCCATCATGGGTAGATGGCTTCTTTTGTATTCCAATGTATTGAATGAATGTATTAATTACAGTCATTTACCATTCTCATTCTCAGAGTGGAAACGTTGTTTGCAGAGTTCACAACCTGCTACACTTGTGAAAAACAAGTGTTTGAAAACGTGTTTTCAAAATGCCTCCAGCTGTCCATCACTACTGTAAACAAAAACACAGCATCTACAGTGATACAAATATATTTTTGAATTCGATTTTTAAAAAGCCACATTTGCCTCGAGATCCATCCCAGTTGGTATTCTGTGTCCATTCGTGGTATCTCTCTTCGCTTACACATCCTTGGAACAGCAGAACAGCATAACGGTCCGGACGGCCCTTGCTGTGCCTGATGAGCAGTTTGTCAAGTTGCAACAAATACATTGATCCTCTCAGCAAGGTTTTACCCGTGGTCGTGGAGCTGGGGGGAGTGCAACTAAAATGTAGTTGAGATGTAGTTGAAATAAACATCTGCATTTTGAAAGAGCCTTTTTTATCATTATTTTATTAACGAAAGCATAAAGATGTTGATGAACAAATACTGTATATTCCTCTATATGCGTGTTACATGGTCCAGTTACAGCTTCTTCTGACAAAGTATTTTTTTTGTGTGTTAAATTGCTTTATCCGACATTTTGCGGTTGCATGAGGCTTGGTGATCACAGAATCAGTAGGATATTAAACAAACACTCAAATAGGCAACAGAAGCAGGAACAGCATAGGGCTCTCTAATGTGTGGATAAGACCACTGGGAGTAAACGGATACTGGACTGCACTCTGGTCAAAGAGTGATGACAGACACAGAAGCCCAGTCTAGGAGTTTAATGATGAACCAGAGGATACATGTGGTCTGTGTTCAGAGGGAAACAGGATAAAAGAAATAGAAAATTACTACTATGTAAATCCAATAAACAACATTACATTAAACAGTAATGTCAACAATCTCTACACACAATTGACAATAAGAGAAAAATAACACCATCATTCCTCTCAAGAGAATTAACATTACAGTTACACCAACTGGTAGGCTAATTACACCATTGTACAAAATGGTAAGAGAACTGGTGAAGAAAGTTACCCCTCTACATACACCTTTCTTGTATTAGGAATGTTATAAAGGTGAAATAAGTATTTGTTCTGACTTACATTTGGTCAAAAACACACAAATATCCCTGCAAAGGAAAACGGTCTGATCTCCACAAAAGCCAGTAGAACTGAGAAATAAGTTTTGTTTTTATACTAACAAGTGGTTGCCATGGTGAATAGTCCAATAATAATTGGTAGGACACATGACAGGAAATGAAACATCAAAGAGTTGACCGGAATATCTGAATGAAAATACTGGCAGATCAATAAAATGTCATTGTAGATCTAAGGGGCTTTTATACAATTATAATGCAGGGTTAATAATACATTTAATATATTTGTAGGGGTTGATGCGTTTTTCTTTAGGGCAAATCTGGTCTGTGATATTGAGTTAGAAATGTAAAACCCTAGAGTACTTAGATTGACATTGTAGAAATGTTCTATTTATTTTATCCTGTTTACAAGTTTGCCCATTTTTGGCCTTTAGGCTACACTTTACAATAGGACTCAACTCTGACTGACCGCAGCATCTATCGGTTGTTTTAGTATATTCATTTGTTGGCTAATATTAGAAGGCTCTTTAAAGCGATTTGAGTTGTCAATGTGCCGCATTGCATTGTGAAAAAAAAATATATCTGTTCTTAATCCATGTCGTGGTTTCTTTTTATCCAAATGTTGAAAAGACATGCAGACAAATTAATTAATGCCAAATGTTGAAAAGACATGCAGACAAATTAATTAATGCCAAATGTTGAAAAGACATGCAGACAAATTAATTAATGCAGGGAGGATTAGAGGAATAATGGCCTACTGTCTGTAGTCATAAAAACAATTAGGCTAAATAAATGGATATTATTTTGTCGGGTAACGGCTCGGCTCTCGGAACTCATTAAGAGGCGGCTTCTATCTTCAATATAATCATTAATTCAGAAGGTTAAACCCATAGGTTTTTGGACTGCAGTAAATTAAATTAGATTACCAGGTTCATTTTTCATTAGGTTATAATAATCCATGCCTTCTGGGAATGTTAAAAAGCTATGGGTGGAGTTAGAAATGTGGCTGTCAGAAGTATTAAAATCAACCAATGTCAGCCATTAAATGCTTTATTATCCAAATGTTTAAAGTGCATGTGGGAGACGGAGAGAAACAAAATGGTACAGTTTGAGTGTCAAGTGTCAATGTGCAGCGGTAGGACGGAGTCAGGCGCAGGACACAGAACTGAGTAAACGACGTACTTTACTCAAAAAATAAACAACACTAATTTCCACGCAGGGAAAACACACCAGCTCACATAAGTCTTAGACACAAAACACAGAACAAACACGCACAAAACCATGTGGGATCCAGAGGGTTAAATAGGGGAATAATATAATGTAATGGGAACCAGGTGTGTACAATCAAGACAAAACAAATGGAAAAAGAAACGTAGATCGGTGGCAGCTAGAAAGCCGGTGACGACGACCGCCGAACGCCGCCCGAACAAGGAGAGGCACCAACTTCGGTGGAAGTCGTGACATTGAGGCAATGTGTCGGAGAGTGATGCGGGCGCTGGAAATAGGGGTGTGAGCAGGTGGGTCTGGGCAGGTGTGATGTAGTTGTCATTTGTACATGTATGTTTTGTATTGTCTAAAAATATAAAATACAATCGTACAAAAAATAACATTTTTTTTGCTTGATTAAGGACTCTAGTGCCAGAGAAGAAAGACTCTTGGACTGAAAACATTCACACCGCCATTAATTTATGAAAAGATAGTCAATTTGTCCCACAGTTTAGACTACCGATAGATCAGCGTTCTAACTCCCCCTTGTGATAGTGTGGTGCATTGAAAGAATGATGCAATTTACCACAATCTGCCACCATCTACCACAAACTGTCACGGCATAACCTCAAAACTTTTAAAAGGAAGAACCACCGTAGCAACATTTTCAGATATTGTACGTTTCTAATGTTGTCAGAACGTTGTTTTCATTGCAACGTTCTGACAACATTAGAAAAACACTAGCTAACATTACGTGTATGATCTGTGTAGTAATGTTATTCATATCTCAGATCCATTTGCGTTGCTAGTTATAGCCCAATGTTAGCTAGCTAGCTAACACTGAACATAGTTGGTTAGCTTTAGCTACAGATTCATGCAGGATAGTAATGTTATGAGTTGGGATTATGGTTAATTGTTTAGTTAGCTAGCTAGCTAGCTACATCTCTAAACAAAAGACTCCACTATGCAAGTAACCATTTCACTGTACCGTCTACACCTTCTGTATCCTGTACATGTGACAAATAAACTTAGATTGTATTTGATATAGTGTGTGTTTACTAGAGATGTTAATTTAAAGAACATGACCTGCACCTAAGTCAAATTAGGATATAACATTACGCCAACGAGACAGTGTCCAAGTTCTAAAATTCTCCAGTAGAATGTCCTACTTTTCTTTAGTCACAATCAGAACCGTAAGCTATTTTCTGTAATTAGCTTGCCATTAACTTGTAAATAAGGATCTTGTTGTGTTTATTTTCCTGTAATAATTAATAAAAATTAGCTAAAGTTAAGACGTTGTAAGCTATATGATATGGTCATTATTTGAACTGGCTAGCCTGCTAACTTAACATTAGCTAACTAAGTAACATGCTACAAACTAGCCAAAACATTGTTTAGAAAGTTGCTTTTAGATGCCTGGTTTGCTAGATTGACATATACTGAATTCATTTTTAAATGGATGGGTTTATTGGTGTTAAAATACACCAATTTTGCTATTTTGGACCATCAGGCTGTTGATGTCATGTAGCCTGTCGTTTTTGTGTTTATACTTTTTCAGAACGACAAGTTTGATGTCGGACAACAATAGAATGTTCATAATGTCACTGCGACAACTGTCTTCAGACATGTCGATAGACGTACGATAAAC